GCCCCCGCTCCCACCCAGGGACTGGTCCCGCGCAGCCGCGGGCGCACAGGTGCGGGGCGGAGGCTCAGAGAGGGCAGGAGCAATGCAGGGTCGCTCAGCGACTTGGAACTGAGGCCACACGCACGCCTGGGGCCTGGGCCTCCCTCCCGGGGCGTTTCCGGTCACCCCGGCTCAGCGCGACCCCAACTGCGCCCCTCCCTCTTCCTGGGGCAGGTGCCGCCGCCGCGCTCCGACTCCGAGGACTTCCTGAGCGCCATCCTGGGCCCGGGAGACTCGGATCCCAGCTCCCCGATCTGGTCCCCCGCGGGCAGTGACAGCGGCATCTCTGAAGACCTCCCCTCTGACCCTCAGGACACCCCTCCCCGCAGCGCACTGGCCACCACCCCGGCCAGCTGCCACCCCAATGAGCCTGGCCAGGGGCCCTGCCCCGCCTACCTCCCTGGGCCCCCCTGCCCCGCCAGGCCCTCGGGCCCCCAAGTGCTGGAGGCCTCGGTGGCCATCGACCTGGGTGAGTGCAGGGGCCGCCCGCTGCCTTCCCTGCTCCTGGGCCCCAAGGGGTGCTGCTGGGCCACTGTGAAGATGGCTCCCCGCTGCCCAGGTCCTGGGCCTGCCTCGGGGAGCTCAGGGGCCGTCCTGGCTGGAGAAGGCCTGATGAGATGGCCCCAGCAGATCAATAATGACGTACTCCAGGGACACTGATGCCCTGGGGCCAGGCAGAGGGCCCCTGGGGACAGGTGGCCGCTGGGCTTCCCCGGAGCTCTTGTGGGTCTGAGAGATGGTCACCCGCGGCCACCGGCTCCACCCTGGGGTCAGAGCCAGGGGCTGCTGGGGCAGCTGCCTACTGTGCGAGGCACCAGCAGGGACGGTGGCAGGCAGGGGCCAGCCTCACCCCTGTCCTGCGGGGAGACCAGGTCCTGGACAGTGAGAGCCACTGTGCCCTGAGTGGCAGCGGGTCCCCGACAATGTCCCGGGTCTTCTTTGCGCCTTGGTACACCCAGGTGTGCTGGGGGGTCCATCCCACAGAGGGGCGACCGCTGTCCCCTCGGCCAGGCCCAGGGTCCCCAGCTGTGCCAAGTGCCCCAGCCCGTGGAGGCTGCTCACGGAGACTGGGGAGGCCGCTAGGGCTGGGCGCTGCGGAGGTGCCCCTCTGACGCCCTCCCTGTCCCTGTCCCCTCCTGCCCCATCAGATGTGTGGAGCACCGGGGGCCTGTACGCGGAGGAGCAGGCGGACACGCCCTCCCGCTTCAACCTCACCGTGAAAGACCTGCTCCTGTCGGGCAGCGGGGACCTGGTGAGCCTCCAGCCCAAGCCTGGGACAGGCGGGAGGGGACCCCACACCCAGCCCCGGGCGTCCAGCCCAGGATGGCAGGGCCGGGCCACTGGGTGCACACGCAGAACCAGGAGAGGAAGAGGCTGGAGTCTGCCGCCGCGCGCCCGCCCCGGGCCAGCCACCTTCCAAAGGCCAGGAATCCTCGTCCTTCAATCCACAGGGGCCCTGAAGACCGGCTTTTATTATCCAAATCCCACATAAGAAAAAGTCCCTAGCTCACTCCAAGCCACCCAGCGCCACAGGCTGTCCCATCGCTGGCCGTGGTCCCATCGTGCTCACTGCACACTGGTGGGGGCCATCTGTCCTGCCCAGGGCTCCTCACCCCTGTCAGACAGACCCCCCCCATTTTACAGATGAGAAGGTCAAGGCTCAGAGAGGTGAAGCTGTGAACCTAAAGTCACACAGAAACCAAGAGGCAGAGTCAGGTTTGAAATCCCCTTTGTCTGCTGCCAAAGGTCATCCTGACAGTCTCCGGGGAGGGCCAGTGAGCACTGGCCACCTGTGTGCTCGCGTCCAGGTCCCCTGGTCAGGGTGAGGCGACGCACTGCAGGGAGCTCACGGGGTGTTCCTGCAGGCCCAGGGGGTCCTCCTGGAGGCAGTGGTGCTGCAGCAGTCCCTGAAGGGTCAGCAGGGAGAAGGACTGGTTTGGGAAGGATTGTCCCGCCCTCGTGCTGGCAGGACCCTGGGGCTGGGGCCTGCTAGGCAGGCGCTCCACCCCGAGTGCTCCCCAGCCCCGTCTGTCTTATTTTGAGACAGGGTCTCGTTAAGTTATTCGGGCGGCCTCCAACTTGGAATCCTCCTGCCTCAGCCTCCTGAGTAGCTAGGACAACAGGAATCTGTCACCTCCCTTGGTGGCAACTGGCTTTTATAAATGCATCATTTTTCATGCACTTTCTCTATGTCCACAGTCTTGGGGTCCTGGGGACCTTGTTCCTGTTTTTTCAGATGAAAGTAGAGGCAGGCTGGGAGCCTGGCCGGACTCACAGTGGCCAGGTGCTAGCCGTGGAGTTTGGACCCAGCCTGGACCAAGACTGTCCCGGAGCAGTGATTCATGGGGTGGAAGCAACAGGAAGGGGCAGGGGGACAGCAGGCTGTGTCCCCAGCCAAATGCCAGGCAGAAGGGACAAAGTCCAGCCTGCTGGGAGGGACTCTTCCGCGGCCCCTCTGAGGGGGAAGAGCGGGCGCTGGGGCAAGCTACGGGGGGCTGCCAGCTCACCTGGGGGACACGTGCCTCCCAGGAGGCCCCGAAACCCAGGGCCTCTCGGCCAAGATGCTGTGGGCAGGGCACCTACCAGGACTGAGGTCCTCCATCCTCCATCCTGAGTCTCCCATTCCACACGGGACGGGTGGAGGCCAGCCTCCTGCCTCAGCCTCCTGAGCCGCTGGGATGACAGGTGTGCGCCACTGCGCCTGGCTAAACTGAGTCATTTTGGGGGAGCAGGGTAGGCAAGTGCACCCACACAGCCTGGGCTCTAATGACGGACGG